GTATTCGTTCATTATAGCTGCTATTGTTAGTGGGCGGGGTTTTTTCTTTTCCTTTTTAAACACTGTTGCCTTTTCTTCTTTTCGAGGAGTAAGGGACATGTGTTTTTTGTATCTAGGGAAGGTAGTTGCCAAGTCTTTCATTGAATCAAGTATTTTTGTCTTATAGCTCTCCTGATGCCTCCACAGCAATTGGCAATGACTCAAAACCGAACACTGGCTCAACAGCCATCATGCCCTCTGCCCATCCCATTGTGAGCAGCCTGTCGCCTGTTGGCCATCAACTGGCATTTGAACCTGTAGAGAAAAAACAACAAAGCTCTTTCTTCAAGCCTCACATGCATCGTCTACCTTCAGTGAGTCGGTTATCTGTCTCCTCCAGTGACGGCGGTATGTCAGCTGATGTGAAACTCGACTCTTTCGATTCCCGCAATAAATTGGATGATGTCAGTGGAGGAATTCGAGGTTTAACAAATAGTATGATATCTATGAGATCCTCGTCTTCCTCGACAAGTCCTTGGACTACAGAGTCAAGCACCCACCCAAACTCAACACCCACATCCAACTACACAACACCACCCCACAACACAATCTCCCCCACCGGCCACTCAACATCAGCCCACCACACAACCACCACCAGCAGCCACACAACAGCAACAACAGCTTTTACCAGTGGCTCAACATTCAGTACCGGGTGGCAGAACTTTACCACAGAAGCGTCCCACAACACGAGCCAGTCGCCCGAGGGCTGTCCGTGGCAATACGAGTGGTGTCGGACAGTGCCCGTCATCAACTTCGCTCAATATCTCGTGGGAACGCTCTTCGTGAGCATCGGCTATCCCATGTGCAATCTGTTGAGCTACACTATCTACTCCAAAGTGTTGGGTCCTCAACCTCAGGTAGGACTGGCAATGCTTCACAACCTCAGAATTACAAAGCTCAATACATAGTTTTTAGAAATGTGACGTCAACATTTTTAAAATTAATTTAACAAAAAGTCAAGCTTTTTCAAATGCAATTCTTTGAATATCTTGAAAATGAATCCGAATATTCTTATGAGTTTGTGATAGAACAAACTCAGCTTTTATTTTTGTTGACCCCATGGTCTTATAGTAACTCAGAACGGCCAAAAATGTCTGACAGACCGTTGTGATTCTCTGAGGTAACGACTTGTCTTGCTTCTCTCTTTAAAAAAAAAAACCCAAAGGGATGGTATAGGTAACTGCCGACTAGATTAACTATCCCTCTCAGCCCGGGTTGGTTTTAGCAGGCAGGGTCGAAGTAGCCCACCTCCTAAATGATCTGTATTGCGTTGATGAGGGCGTAAAAGATCTACAATATTTTTTTTAAAGATGTACACAATGCAATAACCAACATTATCATTATTTTCATTGTCACTGAGTCGGCTATCTCATGTGTAATATATAGCAACGTGTTGTTCTACATAGTTTACTCCAGAGTGCTAGGCCCTCAACTTCAAGAAGGAATCACTCACAGTACTAAATTATTTTTTTAAAATATTGGTTTATTATTGTCAGACTGAACACCCTTTAAGAAATGCGCTACCGTTGTCAAAAAATACTTTTATCAATGGATAATAACAAAAAAAAAGCCTTTAGAAAAAGCAACAGTTTTTTAATCGCCGTAGGGAAAAATTGTTTTACACTGGCTACATACATACATACAAAATCTAATCAAGGTCAGATAATACACAATAGATCTATCAACTGTTCGAAACCCATTGTTTTAAAGTACATACCGTCAGATTATCGTGTCTGACTCCGAGACCGTATTATCTATCCGGAGACGTCTCCGACAGAGATAGACCAATCAAAATGCTTTGTGCCTCCAAAATCTGGAGGATTACAGCCA